CATGGCACAGTGATTAAGCCTTTGGTTGCTAAAAGAAAGATTGGAGGTTCAAACCCACTACCTGCTTCACAGGAGAAAGATGTGGCAGTCTGCTTCTAAAAAGATTATAGCCAAGAAAACCATATGGGTATCCTGAACACCCAGTTCAAGGCTTATGCAATCTACTTCATGTCAAAGTAAGTGACAACCTGGTGAGTGCTACATTAGTGCTAAGTTTCCCCAGGACAATTACAGAGATCATTGGGGAGGGAGATATTTGTCTCAGCAGATTTTCAATGAAGATAAAACTCCAAAACCATTTTGAGGAGAAATGTCACAGAGCATATACCATTTTGGGGAAGAGTGTACCTCGTTTTTGAGCTTCAAGGAATTGAGTTACACTTCTGTTTATCATCCTAGAAATGCATCTGGAGTTGAACCCCTCTTGAGACATAAGAATAAATGCACTCGTGGATGACCTTTTGAAGTCAAACACATTCCTCAACAGAGCAATTTCTGTACTTACTTCCCCTAGAAGCTTTCCCTAATCTCTGCCTTCTTCCAAAATGAGTTAGCCCTTCATCTCATTGCAATTCATCTTACTTTTCTATGGCTTGTCACATTCTGCTTGCCTTTGTGTTATTTGTATCCCCATACTATCTCCTTCACAATGCTATACTATCCACCTGATTTACCATCTTCCACCGCACTTACTACAATGCCTTGCACATAGTAGACCTTTGGTATATGCCAGTTTTCTAGAAATTATCTTGGTAAGCACCTGTAGTACCTGTTATAGCCTACTGAAAATTAGCAAGAAGCAGTGAACGTCCATTGCGTGTTTGGGATTTTCAGAAAATTACCCTCTCTCCGGAAATATATAACAATTTAGTCAAAGCTTATACCAGCTCAGTAATAAGACATTAGCATGCTTCTATCCAAGGACTTGAGGCCTTGAGGATGTCTCTTTTGACATCCTGTAACTCAAGTGAGGTCAGTAATAAGACATTAGCATGCTTCTATCACAAGGACTTGAGGCCTTGAGGATGTCTCTTTTGACATCCTGTAACTCAAGTGAGGTCAGTGAAAGAAAACCTTTCCCACTTAGCAACCCAATCCGCTCCCCTCCTCTGGTGTGTCTCTCTACTTCTGTTAGTAAACAACTTTGGTCTGTGTTCCTTAATTTTACCAGTTTTTTCCCCACACGAGGAGCCACGGTGGTGCAGTAGTTAAAAGTGCCTGATTGGTTCGAACTCATCCCGGCTCCAGGAGTTCCTTAAAGATTCACAGCCTTGGAAACTCTGTGGGGGCAGTTCTACTCTGTCTTATAGCATTGCTGTGAGTTGGAATGGTCTCCACCGCAGTGGGTTGGTTGGTTTGTTTGGTTTCATTCCCCACCTATACTCGTCTTTTGGTGACTAGAGATTTTCAAAACCAATTTTAACACAATCCTCCTGGCACTGCATTGAGGGTGGAAACAGTTTCTTCACTTTGAAACTCTGGCAAGGAAAAATAATTGGGGGCGGGGGGACGACTGAATTTAAACTTCAAAAAGTTGAGTCACGGCTGATTGCACAGCAAAAGTTCCTTAGAGTGGAGAAAGATTAAACGTGGTTTCAGTGGCGCTGGGTTGGGGTGGGGGCAACTTCTGAAGAAATGCGCCAGGGTGCAATCCCTAAAGCTGCCCCAGTCTCACCCACCTCCTCCCCGTGTCCCCGCAACTCTCGGGGCCCAGCTGAGTCCGCCCCCAGGGTACTGATGTCGCGCGCTTGCGTGCTGCGGCCGAAGCTCCAGATTCAGAGGCCGGCCCTAGAAAACCCCAAGCGAGTAGGGGGCGGCGCGGAGGGAGGCAGGGAGGGGAGCGGGGGCACGGGGGGTTGGTGGGTGTCCCGGGGTGGAGATGTAGAATATATGACGCTGCAGCCAGGCCGGTGCCAGACCAGCGGACGCGCTGCCAGCGGTTGCAACCGGATTTCGGGGCTGCAACTTGGGGAGGCGGTTCTCCCAAGAGCGGCGTCCACCGAAACACCCAACCCTAAACCACAGCTCCCGGCCGCTAACGCGCTAGGGCCGGCGGAGAGGGGAGCGACCAAGCGGCGCGAGGCTGGGGGCCCGCGGGCGCGGCCGCGCG